TATAACAAATGAGTTGCAGAGAGTTCAGTACATCAGGATAAACAAAGTATAACAAATGAGTTGCAGAGAGTTCAGTACATCAGGATAAACAAAGTGTAACAACTGACTAGGGGGCAGCGGAAATCCAAGAACAATGAGGAACTGAATAGGTGAAGATTTTGTTCCTCCCAGGATGTGTTCAGCTGGTGTAATCTTGTCCTGGAGCATCACAGCATCACAGGATCATTGAGGTCTCAGTTGTGACCGGAGGCCAAAATGGAATTATGTCTCGAAATGCCATAGCTGGCTTGTAGGCAGGAGAACTAGGGTTAATCAAACAATTTTTCCCTAAAATTATGTAGCATTGCTCCTGACACTGCTTAAGCTGCAGGTCTCCTCATGACTTCCCTTCCAGTGTCTGAGTCAGGGCAATAAAAGGCAGGCTGTGGGGCCATGGTGAACACATCATCAGCCTCCCTCTGGGCACCATGCTGATCTTTGTTGTCAGAATGAGCATCATAAGTATGTGGTATGAGGAAGTCTGGAGAGCCTTAGGGTGATCTCTGACATGGACTCTTTTTTTCCAACAGGCCTCTGAGTAGCCTGCTGACCTGGGCCCTCCTGGCAACTGCCGCCTTTGTTGCCTATACCCCTGGACCGGAAACTAGGTGCAGGGGAGGTGACTCAGCAGGCCCTGGCTCAGAACACACACTGCAGCGGGTCCACCTAGGCAATTAATGCTCAGCCAGAAATCCCCAGAAGGCACCAGGACTTGGCAGCAGTGAACTGTGGTATAAACTGAAGTGGGGAGGGAAGGGCTTAGAGGGGCCACCTGAGCCTCAGAATCTGTTCCTGACACTGTAATTGGCCAGTACAAGAACACTCTGCAACTGCAAAGAGAAACACAAAACCAAATGTCTAAGACAACCCACTGACAAAAACCAAACAAAAGCAAAGGGCTCAAGTTAGCCTGAACCCACACAAGCACTCCTAGAACATGCTAGGACTTTGGAAAAGGTACTATGATGTCCCTGCTCCTTGTGGACCAACTTCCTAAGCAGAGCTGGCAGCCACTACTTAGAGGAAAGCCACAACTCAGGGTGCAAGCAGAAGGCATGTTCTCTTGCAGACCTGAATCCTATCTGTGGGGTGGCTTTGCCCCTGTGCACAGTCAGTCATCTGACATTTAAGATACTGGGTACAGATTTCAAATGCAAACAATTAAAAACCTACAACTATAAATACAGTCTGTAGCTACATGCTGCTTTAGCTTGTGATATTTTAAAGGCAGAAGATACAAAGCCATTGGTGATCATCAGGGCAGTAGGGTCAGACATGCTCTCTCCCCTTCAGGCTCAGAAACACACAGGCAGATGGTGGCAGCAGAGAGCAAAGTTCACAGCTCCCAGGCTGAGGCCTGAGAAGGTGACGGTCCCTCCAGGTGATGCTGTCACAGCTGCTTCTGCTTTGGTCCATACACAAATGTCAGTGGCACATTGCTCCTGGCCATCCCGTGTGCCTTGTGCAACTGGAAGCTGTGCAAGCCTCAGCTATTTTCCTTTATGTCTTCATGAAAATGATACCCAAAATACCAGGGAGACAACTTCTGTTGTTTTACAAGGCATGCAAATACTAGGTCCTACACCAAGTTCTTTACACTGTTGGCCTTGGGAGGCAACCACAGGTACTCCTACTCTCAGCTGAGGAAGCAAGACTGACAGAACTTACATATTTACCCCAATGTTCCACAATCATAAAGGTGAGTTAAGCTCTGGACATTGGCCCATCAAGCTCTTCAGCTCCCGCTCTCATTCACTAAACTCCAGCCCAGGACAGGCCATGTTTTGGCCTTCAGCTGTTGGTCCAGAGGGTTGAGCCTGGCTTGATCAATTGGCTTGGGAGAAGCACTTCCCCTAGGTCTCCCCATGCATCAGGCATATAAGTACTTCTATGGTTGTACTCAGTGTTCACATGATGATGATGGCCTTATCTTTGACCCAAAGACTCCCCAGCCACACCAGAGCTGGTGAGTGCCAGCATGTGTGGAGCTAGGTCAAAGTTCTTGCAGGTTAAATCTCCATAACTTCTCACCCTGGCAAAATTAGTGCATTATACCTTAATCACTGAAGTAGTAAGCCAGTTCCCTAACACTCTGAGATCTTAAACTGTCATAAGAGAAGATGGTAACATGATCAACTAAGCGTCAAATGTGCCCTTTTGAAGTTGTACATAAAAGTTATACTGAACACGTCATCACATGGACAGAAACATTCATCTGAGCTTAGTAATAAACTTTATCTGTACATCAAATTCAGTTTAAAATGCTTTACACATATTTCCTCCTCTGATCTTACTTTCGAAGTAAATAAGGCAAGCATTTTCCTATCATACAAGCTTTCTCCCTTGCCAAGGCACTGGGATTAAGAACCAGTCACAAGGTGTAACAAGGCAGCCTGGAAGTTAACCTAGGCCTGCAGATTCTAAGGCTGAAGCTCTTCCCCCTGCCCCATGGACTTCTGAGTTTGCTTCTTGCTTCTTCTGTGGCTACCAGAAACACCCTTGGAATTACCTTGACAAGTTATTTAAAGTTGAGTGCCATGTGGACCTCGCCTTTTCAAGAATCCAGAGACGGCTTCCTACCCTTACAGCTCCTACCAGCAAATGGTCAGTGCAACAGCCAGGGGTCTGCCCTGGTGGTAGCCTTAGCCACACTGATGGTAGGGCTTGTAATCAAAGTCCTGACTCCCAGACCCTCGGCCAAAGAGCTCAGAAACAGAAAGCAAGTGAGTGGGTACTCACCATGCATTTGTTTGGTACATGTTGTAGTACATTATTACATTCATCAAGGGGAGTTGGTACATGTATTGACATTTCTCCATTTCTTTAGTCCTCTTCCCCTCCTTGACCTCTTGGGATGGATGGATGAACAGATATAATTTTTTAAAATACATTTGTAGTACATGATCACATTCCTCAATTCATCATAGGGACTTGGTGCAAGAACACAGCATTTCACAATCCTCTCATTATTAATCTTTCTTCTTCCTTTCCTCTTTCCATTCCCTCCCCATATGCCAAAGATCCATCTTGCTATCTCCTACTGTCTATCCTTTATTTTGCATTTAGTTATATACTGGTATTCTCATGTAGGAGAAATCATGCAGTATGTGTCTGATTTACTTAACATTATGATCTCAAGGTGCATCCATTTTCCTACAAATGACTGAAGTTTATCATTTATGGCACAATAGTACTCCATTGTGTATAAATACCACATTTTCTTCATTCATCTTTTTTTTTTTTTTGGTAATGGGGATTGAACTCGGGTCCTTGTGCTTGTGCAACAGGCAGCAAAACCACTGAGCTAAATCCCCGGCCCCATTCATCTTTTGATGGGCATTGAGGCTATTTTTAGCTATTATCAATTGTGCTGCTATAAATGGTTATGCATGAATCATTGTACCACAGTGTCTTTACCTCCTTCAGGAAGATAACTAGTACACGACAACCTGGGTCAAATGGTCTATTTTTAGTTTTTGGAGGCCTCTCCACACCGATTCCCACCTACAACGAAGAGTTCCTCCCCTCCACCCTAACACCTCTCCAGCATTTGTCATTTGATTTCTTGAATGTAGCTGTTCTTTTTTGGAGATGGAATCTCAGTAATGTTTTAATTTGCATTTCTCAATTGGCCAGCGATGGTAAGCGTTTTTTCATGTATTCTGTCATTTGTACGTCATCTGAGAAATGTTTATTCATTTCAGATGTTCATTTTTGATTGGGCCTCTATATTTGGGGAGGTCTAATTTTTTTGTGTTCTTATTTTCTAGATATTAGTCCTTAAGTCTGATGAGTGGCTGGCAAAAAGTTTTCCTGTTCTGTGGCTGTCTCTTCACTCTTTTGTCCACCACGCATTTCTGCACGCATGCACACACACTCACACACACTCTCAGTGACCTACAAAAGCACCCGTGGGATCCAGTGCAGAGAGACACTTGAAACCATTCTCCAAAATAAAAAAGAACTTTGCCTGGTACATTCAGGTAAAGTTGCAATATTCAGAGATCTGAACTGCACAGACAAATCTGTTGTGGTCAGTTTGGTTGTTTTGTTTTGTTTTTCCCCGACCTGGATTTCTCTTTAAAAGAGATTGCCACTATTACTCAATGAAATCACAAAAACTAGTTACATTAAAAATTGCTTATTTCTTAGGAGCAGTCTGCTGCCCATCTGTTCAGAAAATATGTGCAGAGCTCCCAGGCAGCCCAATGAACCCCCAGCAGACACAGGTGCCGGGAGGCCCCAGCCCAGCAGGTGGCTGTCTGTAGACCTCTCTTCCCTCCGTCCAGTTTCTTCATTTCACCAGCACTTTCATATATCAGAGCTTTGAGAAACACTTGCTCTTACACTTGTTTTTACAGCAGTGAGAGGATGTAGAGCAGCAAGAGCCCAGACTGTTTTGCCACACTGCTCAGGATGGAATTCAGTGCTGATCCAAATTCTTGGATGCTTCTGTTTCAGGCTGGGATTGGTGAACATCTTCAGACTCAATGGTGAAATCAGCCCACACATGGCCACCTCACAGAGACTGCATACACACACTCACACACACAAACACACACAGAAAATCTTGGAAATTTTGGTTAAGAATTTAAAATGAGAAAGCATGACAAGAGTGTTAACAAATGTCCCCTTTGATAGATAAAAGCAAAAAAAATGGGTTTATGTAATTGGAGAAAAGTTATGATCAAAGGATTATCTCTAACGGGACATCTGCACTAAGATTATTAAAACACCAATTTAATAAAATATAATGTATTTATTTGGGATATATTAGTAGACAAACCAGTAATTTAGCTTAACTAGAAATTATAATGTACAATTTAAGATATTAAATGCAAATTCCAAATTTAAATTCTAAGAAATTTTATGATTGATTATTCTGTTAGAACCATAGTTTAAGTTATTCTTAAACTAGGCCAGTGATTAATTCTTGACTACTCATGCTGTGATAAAGACACAACATACTTCAAGGAGACTGAACAGAACAGATTATTCAGCAGGTGATTACACATTCAATAAAGTGAATTACATTCTCTCACTGAGTAAGGCCCAAGTCTCTTTCCCGTCCTGAGCAGAGGAAGTAAAATCCCTGTAGCCTGAGCTCTGCAGTCCAGCACAGCACTATCCGCCAGAGGATGCCACATTCCACAAGGGCATTCTCTGGCACTTCCCACCTGGCTGCACAACCTCAGGTCTTGGCCACATAGGGCTTTGGTGAGAATAATTTCTCACTTGCTCAGGAGATACTCTCCCTATTCTCCTTCTCTTTCAGTTTGGCCAATTGACTTATGGTTATTCTCCAATTCTCCTCATGAGCCACCAGCTCTGTGACCCATGAGGCTCTTCAGCCCCAAAGTCCTAATATCCAAGGCCTCTTTTTTGTGATAGGAAATGACTCCCCCACTAGGCTGAATTTATTCAGAAAGCGATCTTTCTGAAGTTTAAAAGAGTAAAATTTACTTGCATTGTGCTACAGAAATGAGACTTTTAAAAAAAAGTCTCATTTATCCTTGGGAGACTAACTTGCAACTTTAAGGTCCTGAGAGATAAGTGTTTTTATAATTCCTCTTATTAAAGCACTTTAAAAATTCAAGTTAGGTTGTATAACATGTAGAACTGTCACTTCAATACCTTATGAATAAGAGATGATATCTGCGTGAAACAGGCTAAGATCTTCTAGGAAGCCTTATGATTTACAAGATGCTTTGAGTGATACTAGCCACAAAAAATATTTATGAATAGCCACACAGACTGTCATAAGCTAAAAACCTTTCAGGTAATAGAGGATGAGAAAGGATGAAGATCAAGTCTGACCAGAAAGCCAGCTTCTCGAGGACAACTCTTCAAGTCTCAATAGGTGACGGGCATTCCCTAACAGCCTAGACCCCCTCCCCCTCTCTTTTGTTTTGGTTGAGACAGGGTCTTACTATACAGTTCAGAGATCCTCCTGCCTCAGCCTCCCAAGTGCTAAGATTACAGGCATGTGCCACCACACCCAGATGTGACAGAAATTATTCCCTTATGTTAAATTCTAAATTTATTCAGAAAGACATTTCTGAAATTTCAAAAAATGTACTTGCACTCTAAATGTACTCTACAGAAATGAGAAGGGCAGGGGCTCAGTGGTTCCACCGCCTGCCTTGTAAGCGCAAGGTCCCAAGTTCAATCCCCGGTACCAAAAAAAAAAGAAATGAGAAACGATTTGTCCTTGAAGATCCACTGGTTTGCAATTTTAACATCAACTGTAGTGCCTAAAACCTCAAAAGGAGCTGGGACAATCTCACCTCACCTCTCTGGACTACAGAGAATCACTAGGGACCCTGGGAAGTGTTAAGCTTCACCAAATAATGGCATGGCAGAGCAGAAGATGAGGTGTCCTGTGAACGGGTGTACAAGTCACTGAGCAGGTTCTGAGACTTCCTTATATCCCCAAGGAGTATGGGTTTCACTTACTACATTTTTGCTTCCTAGTACAATCAAGAATAGGTTCTCAGAATATACTCACTATTGGGGAATGTTGGGATTTGGCTGAAACGGCAAGTTTTAATAATGATGACAGTAACTTTTAGGTTTGATCACACTGCATCAACATATTTCTGATTTTGTTACAATTTTAAAATTACTGATTCATTAACCATTGAACACAGAAATAATTCAGTAGAGGCAACTAGGAGGTTAACAGGATCATTCTTCAGTAGTATCCAGCCTGGAGAGAGGAAAAAGAGATTCAGGTTATTTTGCTGGTTTAAAAACGCACCCAAAACCAGCTGTGGAACATGAGCTCAATACATGGACTCTAACAAAGACATCCTGTGCTAAGGGAGTCTGAATGCACTATAAAGAAAAGGACCATAGGGCCAGGGATTTAGCTCAGTGGTTCCGCCGCCTGCCTCACATGCGCAAGGACCCAAGGTTCTATCCCTGGTACCAAAAAAGAAAAGGACTATATATATCCCTGAAAGGTCATAAGTGTTTTGGCTTGAAGACGAAGGATTATGCCCTTCCTCAATATGAAAACAGACAGTGATGAAGGCTACATTCTGTCCAAAATCAATGAGATAACATCAGAACAGAGACAAGGCCTGAGAATATTCATTTACTATCCTGGCACTGTAAATAGGAAGCTGAAGTCTCTACATGAAATTTGAAAACTGCTAAACAAATTTGTTTGTAAAATTCAAAAGTAGTAATCCACCCAACTGAAGCTTGTGAAATTCTACTGTAACTTCAAAGTACAATTGTCTTTTTTGTCAAAGGCCCAATGGGATTTATCAACTTTAACCCATGTTTCTCCACCTTTTAAAACCCAGATCACTTAAAATGTTTTCTGCAGCTTATAAGTTTTACATGAACTTTATTTTGTGCACTTATGTCCCAAATCCACTCTAATTCTTGTAAAGTAAATTAATAAAATTAAAATTAGGGCTGGGAGGTATAGCTCAATGGTAGAGCACTTCCCTAGCATGCATAAGGCCTCAGGTTCAATCCCTACCACCAGTAGACAAACACATCCAAACATATAACAAAATAAGTAAACCATTAAGTACAGAAAATTCATTTCAGAAAAAGTATTTATAACTGTAATAAGTGGGCTCCTTAAACTATCTCATAATGTTGTCAGAAAAAAATCTAGAATGTTCACAACACAAAAAGTAATGATAAATGTGTGAAGTGACAGGCATGCCAGTTACCCTGATATCATTACAGATTGTATACAAGTATTGAAATGTCACACTGTTCCACATGAATATGTACAATTATCCTGTATTGATAAACTATATTTTTTAAAAGATTGAATATATAATCTAGATTGTCGTTTCTTAAAATAAAACAAAAACTGATTTGATAAAAAGACTAAAAGCTTAGAGAAACTAGCAGAAAAGAAGCAAAGAGAAACAAATCTGCATGTGGTCCCAGAATGAATCTGAAAAAAAAAATAACAACATAGGCATCAGCTAATAGGTAATAGACGAGTTACAAGTAATCTGAGAAATCACTAACACCAACTCCCCTACTCTGTAGCTAAAACCCAAGTGACAGCTCAGAAGGGTCTCAAAGTCTTAATTAAGTCAGTAACCAAGCCAAGAATCAAACCTACATGTATGTTTGTGTCGCCAGAGAAAGGCTGTTATATGACGCTGCTTCTCCGGGTCTGGAAGGGAAAACACCCGTCTGCTGAACTCTTCATGGGACTCAACCTGCCTGGCACAGTTCACTGCACCTAACAGGCTTTCTTGAGGACAAGGCAGGTGTGTGTTACACAGACTCAGCCTCATCTTCCATGCTGTTCAGAAGGCTGAGAATTCTATCCCAACCAAGAACATGCATATCAAGCTAACAAGACCAATGTCTCAGGAGAAAGGTAAGATAGGCCATTAGCCCTACACATTTCTCTCAGACTCCTAGCAACTCATCCCCCCGCCCTTATGAGTAAATTAAACATTAACACTGATACTGTTGGTCAAGGTCTGAAATGTCTACAGACAGGTAAGTTAAAGATTCTTTTTTTTCAAACAATCCCTAAGCCTCTAGCTGTAGAAAAACAAAACAAAACATATCCCAAAGTATCCCACCTTACATACAGGAAAAAACAAAACAAAAACAAAAACAAGGGAGTTCCTACCTCACTCTTAACAGATAGAGCTGGGCTTTGAAACTTCCTGTTCATCTCTGTTTACTGGACCAAAGCAGTCTGTGAACTATCAGACAGAGCAACAGGGCCTTTATCCTCAGCACAGCTTGATATTTCTGAGAAAACCCAAATGATTTCAAATGCAACTAGTACCTCCAATACCATAAGTTTCACCAAAGCTATAATACTGTAAGATCAGCCAATCCCCTTTCAAACTCTAAAGAAAATATAGATAATAAACATAGCTACTTCCATTAAATGGTTGTTTCCTGCCTCTCTCACGCCCATTCTTCACTGATGTTGTCGATGTTTTCAATGGATCTCCTCAGATCTCTGACTAAGGGTACCCAAAACACAATGGTCTTACCCTATTCCACCTTAACTTTTATTGTCACAGATCCCTCCTTCACCCCAGAGATACACAAACTGCCCAAAAAAAGCAACTCTCACAAAGGCTTCTTTGGAAGCCCACCTCTGTGATAACCAATGACCAAAGACAAAGTATCTCATAATCAACTTTGGAGGAAAGACTCAAGCCAAATAAAATTTCCCTCACCAAAGTTGTTTTGCCAACATTCCACCAACCACAGGATTCTCTCCACCATCCCTGTGACATGCTGATTTCATGTGCATAAAAGAACAAAACTAAAGCTGAGTAAGGAAGACTGATACCAAAAGAAGCAGGGGGTGAACCTCTGAGGATTCCATAAGCAAGCTCTTCAGTTTTTTAAACCCTAAGAACAAAGGTCAGCAAACTTATAGTCTGTAAAAATTTTAGTTTTGTGGACCATTCAGTCTCTATTACAACTACTAATCTCTGCCATGATAGCAAGAAAGCAGTTGAAGATTATAACAAGATGGTGTGGCTATGTACCAAGAACTTTTATTTACTAAAACAGGTAGTTGGCCAGCAGGCTGTGGTTCATCAATTCTGTTTGAGACTAAAAGCTAATGTAAAATCTTAATCAGTGGCACCAAACATATGGCACACATGTTGTTTTTCTTTTAATACAAAAGAGGTTAATGTAGAGTTGTTTTTTCTAAACTAAACCTCAGTCAGTATTCAGATTTAATTGCAGTGTCGCCACTTTGCAATAAAGAAGAGGGTCTGGGGTTGCAGTCTGGGTACTTGTCTCTAAACGATTTGCCATCACTGGTCAAGATACAACTAATTCATAAAATAAAGGAACTCCAAAGATAGGAGAAAAGAAGTACATGTGGCGGCTAGTTGGGCAGGACCAGAAGAACTGGTACCTTGTGAGGAAAGAAGACTCACCTTGAAGAACACAGCTGCTGCCGCACACAGAAATGTGAGCAACAGGAGCCCAAGTTTTCCTTTGTTGAACTGTTTCAGCAGGAAAAACTTTGCCAAGTTCACCTTTGATTGGCTGCTGGGGGGATATCTGAGTTTGTTGGGACCTTCTCTCTTCAAACTTTTTAATAAACAGGAACGATGATGAGAAAAAGTATCAAAAGTATGTTTTCCATGATACGCCCCCATCCCACTGGAACCTGAATTGAAGGAAACAGACAAAACGAGCTTCACTGCAGGTGCCACAGGCTACCTCTTCATCTCAACAGAAAACCCATGCACACACTGCTGCCTGGGGTCCACCAGCCCACCTTCTCTGCCAGAAGTGTCTCTTTTGAGAAAATCCTTCCAACTGTGTCCCTGGCATGGTCAATATGCCTTTCACCAGGATACTTTCTAAGAGCAGGGCAAGAATTTGCAGTCCGTCTATGGCTGTGGTTCTCTTTTATGCCAGGGACTATGCTAAGGGTTTAAATGAATTAATTCTCCATGATACAACCCCACTGTGTTCTGTTATCATCAGCCCAGTTCCCAGAGAGGGAAAAAGAGCTTACATAATCAGTTAACTAGCCCAAGGTCGTATCTCTGATAAAAAGTGAAGCTAGACTATGAACCTCGTTCAGTCTGACTCTAAAGTTCAAAGTGTGCTGTTTTCCCAGTTTTCCATCCGGATTTATCCACGGTCCCAACTCATTCACTTGCTTCCTCTACTCCCCTGGACAGTAACAAAGACCAGGATGACGGGGTTATGCAGCTCCATAACACTAAGCAAGTGAAAAGAAGCCCTCTAAGAAGCCACACTCTGTGACAGTTTTCATTTCTCTAACTCATTATCTGCACAACAGACTGCTGCAAAGGGACAAAAGGAAGCAGTGTGCTGGGCAGGGGGAAGAGCGCAAGTGTGACACAGTGGTGTAAGGCAGGGCAACTGGAGGTAGGGGCAGTTTACTGACTGGGACTGGGCCCTCGTGAATCAGCAGTGCTTGGGCAGCAGCTGAAGATGTGGGAAGGGATCATTCAGGAAGGAAGACTAGTTGGAGCAAAGGCCAGAGGCCAGAACCTTGAGAAACTCTTAACCTGAGGGAGGGCTGAGAAGGAGGGGCCAGCCAAAGACATGACTGTGATAGGAAGGAACTAGGGGAAAATGTATAAAGAGCAGAAGAAAAACTGGGTGAAAAACACTTAAATGGAAATGAAAAGTAAAGAATTAATATGAAGAAAACTATAAAGTTTTATTGATGGATATAACACAGCTATATAAATGAAGAGATGAAACATGTTCCCGATAAGACTCCACATTTTACACGCCGAATCACCCTGCTGCAGACAGGCAGGTCTGCCCATGCCCTACCTAGGTCCTGAGTAGCACAGAACACGCCGAATCAGCCTGCTGCAGACAGGCAGGTCTGTGCATGCCCTACTGAGGTCCTGAGTCGGGCAGAAGACACCGAATTACCCCGCTGCAGACAGGCAGCCACCTGATTCCACACTACAAAGACGCAGAGGACACCAGACCACCAGACCAAGGT